GCGGAATGGCTGAGCCCCAATCCTCCGTGCGTCAAACAGAACCGAACTGATCATCGCTACATCCTGAGAGTCACTAACGGCAAAGCGATATTACACCGAGGATACTCACAATTGTTATAACATTAACCTTTCATGCATTTCTCACTTCTGTGCAGTTTTATTTTGAGATCTTTACACAGCAAATATTAACCGAGTTTATACAATAAGAAAGCCCCTATATTTGGTGTATTTCATGATAAAAAGAAACATTTTTGATACCAAAAATGAATGAAGAAAAATTGCAACTGTGCGAGCGACAGTAAATAGAAAGGATGTTATATATACCTATTCTCTCACTCACTGCAAGTTCTGTAAAATTGGTTAGTTTAGTTCTACTTTAAAAAGGTTCGAAAAGTAGATATAAACTGCAAAAAGTTCGAGTATAAAAGTAGTCTACTTTAAGAAATAACGTGCCTTATATAACAGGCATTGTTTTTCGTTTCGTTTAAAATGAGACCAAAAGCTCTGATATCGTCAATCTTACACGTGGAAAGAGTGTAAGATGCACGTAATGCAAACTTCAAGTAAAATTTGATTTTGGCATTATTATACATATTCAGATTCAGCTTAAGCTGATTATGAATAACACCTTCCGAGTCTCCAAAAGCCATTTCTTCATGGAGAAAAACTCAAATATTGAGAGGACCTGAAAAATACAAAAATCGTCTATGATGAAATTGACTTTTTGAGTTTGTATTGCAAGATGGAAGGCTTGAACTATATTTTTCTGAATCAGCATTGAAAACTGATTTAGAAAAAGGTTTTCAGTTCATTTCAGAGGTGAACAGTCGTCCCCATGGACGTCCGAACCAATGGCTGTTAACTGGGTATGACTCATTTTGTAAATCTATCTAGTTTTTTGGGTGAAGGGCTATATCCATGATTCACCATCAGATTGGCCAACACGCCAGCTTTAAAAGTACGTAGAGCTTTTTTCAAAATTCGTTTTCCTTGCTGAGAAAAACGGCTTTTTCTGCAAATCAAAGAGAAACAGCGATGAGATCTTTGGAAAACCAGACCGTGTGTAAAAATTTTCAATAGGGTTGTATTGGTTTTCTTCCATGCTATGATAGCTCAAGGTATCCTCTTCAAAATGAGAGTCAAGGGAGACCTTGGTTTTTGTGTCGGATTTCTTGCGAGTCCCAGGACTGGCACCCGCTGACTATTGGTAGCCTTGAAAACAGATGGACTATAGTAATCGATCATGCTGAGTCTTGTGGCAATATTTGTTTTTAGAAAAATTTCTAAAAGTCTAACGAAAAGCGAGTTTTACGAAAATTTGGGTTTTCAGGCTGTTTTCACCTATTAAAAAGTTCACTATTCACTCAATAAACATCAGAACGAGTTCAGACCTTCAGGATATGGGTGATTTTCTTCGCTAAACCTGATTATAGGATCGAAAAAATCGTCCCTAACTTGTTCTTTGAATAAGAGTCACCTTTCGGAGGGGGTGCTTCCACACAGGTCCACCCACTATTACGTTCACTATTAGCCGCGAAAATTTCACTTTACCCATCGTGTAGAGCATCAAAAATAACCTAAAGGTCTCGCTTACGCTTTTTTGAAAAAACGTGTGGAAAGTGGTTTTCTAGACACCTCAAGTTTTTGGTGAGAATGAACTCGAAGTACATGAAAATGAATGAAACACTGCTTAATTATACATTAAATTGTAGCTCTTGACGAGTTGATTCTAATGGTGAAGGAATTCGATCTCGATCTAACTTTACATTCGAGTGGTACTCAGTTTACTTGAAAAAGACCTCCATTTTCTTCTAAACACTTCGAAAATTTTTCGAGATTTTATCGGGATAGGAACTACTCTGTAGGATCTATAACTTTGCCCATACAACTATCCTCGGCACTTTTCAGTTTCACCCTCAGTCTTCCAGAAAACCCGTTAAAACCTTACTTCATGAAAAGAAAATTGAACTATTATGACTCTATATTCCTGTTCAGCATGAAGAATTTAATGTATTTCAACGTTTTCTGAGAATTCTTTGTTTTTCCGTACCGCAATTTTCTACGCGGATTTCTGGAAAACTGAGGGTGAAAAATGGAAAGTGCCGAGGATAGTTGTGTGGGCTAGATCGAGATCGAATTCCTTCACCATTAGAATCAACTCGTCAAGAGCTACAATTTAATGTATAATTAAGCAGTGTTTCATTCATTTTCATGTACTTCGAGTTCATTCTCACCAAAAACTTGAGGTGTCTAGAAAACCACTTTCCACACGTTTTTTCAAAAAAGCGTAAGCGAGACCTTTAGGTTATTTTTGATGCTCTACACGATGGGTAAAGTGAAATTTTCGCGGCTAATAGTGAACGTAATAGTGGGTGGACCTGTGTGGAAGCACCCCCTCCGACAGGTGACTCTTATCCAAAGAACAAGATGGGCATTATATGACTGAGTTCGACACGATTAAAGAACACACTAATTGATTAATTGTTTAAAATTTAATATACAAACTAATTGATTAAAATCTGATTTGGCTTCCTGACGAATTGTAAATATATATGTCGGAGTTCAGATTAAAATCCAGTTGAGTTTAAACCTGAACTAGTTCAAATCGAAATTTTAATAAAAACTAGGTGAAATCGAAATTTGAATGTGAACTAGTTCGTTTGAAAAGCAGTTTCGGAATGAACTGGTACATTCCAGAATTTCGATTTCACCTAGATCTAATCAAAATTTAAATCTGAACTGACAAAGCTGACTAGATGCATTTGAAACTCAACTGGATCAATAATGCATTTCAAAACGAACTAGTTTGTTTCAAACTGAACTAGACGGTACTAAAATGCAGTGCCGTTCAAGTTAACTTATATCCTTCTTATAGCAACCTCTTTTCTTTTGATACTGTGAAGTTTAATAAAGCAAGAAAACAAAAACGAGCAAATATATGTTTTTAGCAGTTTTCATATTTTGTTGCTTTTTCTCCATGCCATTTTGTACAACATTTATGATTATTATTTTTGCATGGACATCGTTTTGTATTACAGGCACCAGCGTATTTCTATCATAATACCAGTTTGTGTTGCTACAGTATACAATATTTTACCATTTTCAGTATTGCATCGTACTACTTAACACGGCAAAACTGTGGAGGAACTGTTTGTTCTATCAACATCAGAAATCTTTAAGCCAATTCTATCGCTAATAATATACGGGTGATTCCATGGGAAACCTCCCACTATATGTAAAATGTTCTTCAAACTCGATCAAACTTTCAGCGTTTATTCAACTATCCTTCGTAACTATTGAAATATATTTGCTTTTCCGAAAAAGTTATACCCTTGGGCGGTGGAGGTGGCACATACTTCCGATTAGGGTCAACTTGAAATCATTGTTCTCTACCAATAAGCGACATAGATGGTATCTAAACATATATTCGTGTACTTCAAGTCATGCCCTTTATAACTGCCTAATCAGAAAAATTCTCAGAGTCTACATTCTATTTTTTTAATAATCAAAATATGCCCTTTTACCGAAAATGGTGGTAAAATGGTAAAGCTTTTTTCCTTACACTATCCACTTTTAAGTAACAGCAATATATGTAATCAATTCCTCTCTTTATAAGCTATCAATTGCTATATAACCAACTTTTGGATATAAACGGTTGCTTGGCGGTAGAGCTTGTATTAGTATCAGTGCATGAAAAATGATAAACTTTTGATGACTAAAAAAGAAAATCCCTATATTCCCAGACAAATTCAGATCAGCAGATTTGTAGTGCTAAACGTGCTCTACAATTGGGCATTACCGCTTTCCATTCCTCTTAATAGTTCTTGAAATTTTCGACAACGAAGTTCAGCAGTAGCCATATGATAATTGCGGTCGGTCTTTTGCCATATCTCGCCTAAGATACATCCGAAAATGTTGAAACCTGCTACTATAGACTAATTTTACATGGAGATTCTGAATTTGATGGGAAAAAAAATAAAATAAATCATATAACCGATCTCTAGCAATGGCTCATATATGCTTTTGTATCACAGTGGGCAATTTTGACTAGGCACGTGGACGTATGCTGTAGAAGTGGTACGTAAGTCTATAAACATATTTTTTATAGGTTTTTGGATATGCTCTTTCCAATGATGAGATTTCCGAAATCCAAAAATAATTTTTTCTGGGTTTTCTGAAGACCAGATCTCTAGATATAATAATATATTTCAATAGTCACGAAGGATAGTTGAATAAACGCTGAAAGTTTGATCGAGTTTGAAGAACATTTTACATATGCGGGAGATTTTCGGTGGAATTATCCATATGTTCTTTGACGTTTAGCTAAATTGGTAATATATTTCAGTAATGGTGACTGAGCATTACAGAGATAAGACTTTTCACCTTCTTCTCGAGTTTCTTATGATGATGATCGTATACTGGATTACAAGTACTAAGATCACGGATAGCACTTGAGCTTGCACTAGTGGATGGCTCAAAACTGCTCGAATCTTCGTCATATTGAATGACTGTGTCCTTATCGGATGAGTCTATTATTGAATTTAACCATGTATTCGGGTCATCATTGTTATTCATGTTCTCTTCAGCATCAACAATTGCATTTTGGTGTGAATTTTGTATTCTATCATTAATTGGATAATTTATTATTGAATTATTATTATCATTATCTTCTTCATTATCAGATTTATTATGATTGTACAATAAGTCATCATTATCAGTATCCGATTGTGAGACTGTTTTATTAAATTCTTCAAATAATGTTGCTACATCTAGTGGCAAATTTTCTTCTAACATAATACCTTTTTCAATATCAGATATAGCCGAATTATTATCATCATTCTTTTTCATTTTTTGTTGGATACGTTTCCAAAAATCTTCGTCAGACCGAGGTTGCTGACCGAATACCATCTCAAATGGTGTCTTTTTCGTAGTTTTTGCGATACTGGTATTAATAGCCAGCATCACTAGAACAAGAAACAAGAAATTAATAGTACCGGTCATCACTACTTTTAGTCATCCTACCCGGATCTAGTCCATCAGGCCAGTCTGCCGTTTGATTGGAATCTAAAAATTTACCAAGAAGCTTCTGAACGACCGCATTATCACGCTCAACCAAGCCCTGTGACTGAGGATGTCGGGGACGCCCATTTATAATAATCAAATCCGTCCATGTTGTTTTCAAATCATAAATTACGTGAGCAACAAACTCCCGTCCGTTGTCTGACTGTAAAATCTTTGATGGTCCAAACTGGAAAAAAATTGATTTTAATATTTGTGCAACATTTGCCGTAGATTCTGCGTAATTTTAATTTTTCCGACTAGACCCTCGTTTTTAGCGTAATTTTTGTCTATAGGCTTTTCCCAGCTTAAATAAGTTCTAGGACAAAAAATCTTTTACCAGCGAATGGAGCATTTTTCAAAGTATATTAATCACTGTTTGAACCACTAAAAGGTCAACTTTCATTTTTTCACCAAAAGCTTGCCTGGATGCACACTGTGTATAGCACACAATTATGTCTTGTTTTCGTCTCATTCCCGGCAATGTTCATTTTTCCACGACTCGTACGGTAATTCCAACATCCATCGCCTTTCAGAACTCCTATTATTTGATCTTCTTGAACTGACATACAGTGCATTTGGTGGTAACGTATAGGATTACGGTAACGCGGTCCTCTCACGTTTCTCTAGGGTCCAGATGCATCAGTAAGTTTACATACAACTATTTAGCTGTTATCGTTAAACTTTATTTTACTTACTAACTACTGCATCAAATTTCTCGTGCAACAACTCTTCTACTTGCAATAGTTAAATACATCAAAACCATAAAAATTTTCAGTGTTTCAATCACTATCCAAAGATAAAACGTCTTTTTTTTGGATTTGAAAAGATTTTGCAAATCACTATATATTTTATTTGTCGGCGTCAGATAGACGAGAATATACAAAGCGCTATTAGCGTTTTTCATAATACGTTTTTCATCGTCATTAGACTATATTTTATGTTGTTTCAAGAATAACCATACTGTCTATTTTTGGCTGGAATGAAAATAAAATGGATTGTATAAACATCCAACGGATACAAATGATTAATAAATTCTGTACATTTGTATCATCTATTACACAAATAGCTGACTCTGAAGGCGGCTGTTTATACCATCCATTTTATTTTCATTCCAGCCAAAAATAGACAGTATGGTTATTCTTGAAACAACATAAAATATAGTCTAATGACGATGAAAAACGTATTATGAAAAACGCTAATAGCGCTTTGTATATTCTCGTCTATCTGACGCCGACAAATAAAATATATAGTGATTTGCAAAATCTTTTCAAATCCAAAAAAAAGACGTTTTATCTTTGGATAGTGATTGAAACACTGAAAATTTTTATGGTTTTGATGTATTTAACTATTGCAAGTAGAAGAGTTGTTGCACGAGAAATTTGATGCAGTAGTTAGTAAGTAAAATAAAGTTTAACGATAATAGCTAAACAGTCGTATGTAAACTTATTGATGAAGATGTGTTTCAAATAGATGCAAAACAGTGTGAAAAATATGATCCCTATACGTTTAATTTATAACAAACTTTGCTTAAATCAAATCATTGAAATGAGCCTCTATATACTATACCGCCGTTCTCTTCTAGCCAAATATATTATAACAAAACAAAACAAAAAATCATCTTCTTTCAACTAGTTGATCTGCAGATGTCTCATTTTGCACTGGACTACTACTCAATGTATTTTTCATTGTTGTATATTCATGAACAAGTTCTTTGGTCAGAGCTGGTATATATCCACTATTTTTAAGACATGGTATGATAATGAGTGATAAAACTGAGCTTAAAAGTGTCAGAAATGTAAATAACCAAAATAATAGTCGATCCATAATAAGTGCCATTAATTTCCATTCGTTAATAATTTCGTTTCTCTCTTCTTCATTCTGTTGTTTAACAATTAAATGTTTCAAATGTTTTTCTAATAAATACATGTTTGAATTAAATAGATGATGGTGAAGAGACGATGAATTTGAGTTTTGTATGGTCTTTGGTGAATGTTTTTGATAGTCTGTACGAGATGATGAACGTGGACGTATAAGTAAAATAGGCGGTGTTGCCTGACGAATATTGTGAGAATTTGGGCGCAAATTACCGTTACTGACAGGAACACGTGTTTCTTTACGTAACGATTGCTCATCATCACTTTCAGCTGGTGTTGATAATCTTTTTTTATACATTCGTTTTCTTGTGGAATATTTTACTTTACTATAACATTTATAAACATCATCGCTTAGTGTGAGATTATGCTCATTAGCATAGATGGCCACGGTTTCATGCATGCCAATTATGGGTGCAATGATGTGTACAAGTGTATATTTAAAATGATGTGGAACACGTGTGACAACAGGACCACTGTGATGAAGTTGTAGAACATAAACTGTGAGAACAATGGAAAGTGATGTAAGACCCATAACAATGGTTAAATAAATTTCAATTAATGGTACCATTTCAGATGTGGCCGGCATTGATTCAGCAATAAGTAACATGAAAACGGAAAATGCGAGTAGAACAGTGATACCTAATGTAATCTTTTCACCACTATCAGGTGGCAGCCAGAATCCGAGAAGAGATAGGATAGATAGCCAAATACAGGGAAAAATAATATTGAACATATAATATAATATTCGACGTCGAATATGAACTAAAAATAAAACAAATGATTAAAATATGATAATATGTCGGTAATTCTTACATTCTTTTCTTTTTACACATAATCTTCTAAACTGAATAATTAAAAGTGAAAAATATATGTTGACGGTGTCCGCTTTAATTCATAACTTCACAAACCTTCTCTTCGTTTTTTTTCCAATTCTACAATGTGTTTAGTTTTATTTGGTGCAGAAAAATGACACTAACTTTAGAATTGATGATTCTGCTTAGCAAGTAAAGAATGTCGATCATTATTATGGTAAATGAGCAAAAAACAAATTTTATTTGAAAAAAACGGTTATACACTATACCATAAATAGTGATATCAGGATAATATATTCCCGGACAACATGGATAAGTAACATCATTTCGTTTAACGATAACATTAATAATAAGCCATTCACCCGATTTTATGTAATTTGACATATCAACATTATCACGACGTTTTGTTAAATTGACTTGAGCAGCATCATATGTCCATGATCCAAATTTTAATTTGCATAACTGATCTAAAAACAATATCGTATGAAATACAAAATCTATAGTTTTAAAATATCATACTAAATAGATATTTACCATCAAATGGAAAGAATGTCACATCAATTTTACATGATGAACGAAATTTAGCTGGTGGTGGCCAAAATACATGGCCAGTTGAATCAACCATTGCTTTACTTTGATAATAACCTTAAAAATAGTATATATGAACTAAAATATTTGTTTAATATGCAGATTTGTTCATGTTGTTTATACCTTGTGTATAGTCATCAGCACTATTATACAATACAATATCTGGTAACCATATTTTGGAACATGGTAAACGTAGTGTACTTAAACCATTGAAATCAGATGCATTCCATATTAATCGTTGATCAAACCATTCCTACCACAATATTAGAATATATTGGAATAATATAACGTTCAAGATCGAATGAACCATTCTTTACCTGTTCAAGCCAAATATTTGTGGTTAAAACTTGATTTTTTTCATCCTAAAATAAATTGCTAAGTTTAGACGTTTTTAGAACTTAAGTTTAGATTTCTAATCAAGGACTGTCCATCACGAACGAAGTTTTGAAAGAGAGATAAAGAGGAATGAAAAACAATAAACATCATTGAATGGATTTTTTCAGCTATAAAACTTTTCTGTTGACCAAGAAAGACAGCCTCAGACCCAGAATTCAGATACCCTAAGTACACAACGTTAAGAACAACGTGATTTGACGTTGAAATTTGTGTTTTGAGTCTAACTTCTGCGCTGTTTATCCGGAAAAAGTACATTATATTTTTATAAAAATGGTACCGTTGCATTTCAAAGGTACCCTGAGCTCCGATATGAAGTTGATTTTGATCTTTCTCATGACGATAAAATATTTTTCTGTTTAGTTTCAATTTAATGAACTGTTTGATAAATAATAATAAGCGTAAGAGTTTTTTCAACGACGACATCTAAGACATTTCAATTCTTCAAGAGTTTCTAAGGAATCACTCACTTCATGCCTGACAAATCCGAATTATCTTTCTATCATACTGCCTTTTAGGTGAAATTTCGTAGTGACCATCTTTGATGGAAAAAATATGCGGTTCGTCAAAAATACACGAGGCAGAGTGAGTATCTTCCACTAGGCAGACATAAAGTTTTTCTACCATCGAAAATGATCGTTTTTGACTTCGAATGATTCTCCGTTTCAGAAAATAGCATTCTCGCAAGAGAAAAACCTAATTCTGAACTTTTAGTGTTTGATTAATATATGGAACTTTTTAAATGGGAAAAGAAATCATAGAAAATGTTTCAGAACTACATTTATCGCATTCACCGTAAATGCACTATATATAAACTAGACGGCAATCACGCTAGCGAGTGAATGCGGTGCGAAGCAGAAACAAGAGAATGAAGGATACGGCAACAGAGAACTCAGTTTTTTTTGTTAAATTATGTACAATATTGTTCCCAGGAAAGAACTGATTAAAGTGTAGATTAGTCACGTAAAAGAGTAATTGTCTTTTTCTGCTACTGATTCATTAAGCTTCAAAATGTTTGTTGAGATGCTCTCTGTGAATAAAAGAAAAAGGCTGAATTCTGGCTTTGTCATAAAAACTGCGTTATTATCTGTAACACAGTAAAGCGTCTAGTGGCTAGTCATTGCGTTAATTATACGTTGAATACGTATAGAGGATAGTCATAAAATGAATCACACGATATGCGAACACTCTGCTTTAAAAGTACTAGTATGACTCAGATTAATTATCCATTTTTTTTGAAAAATTACAGGTCCCAAACGTTCAAAATACCTTCTTTCAAGCCTTCTGGTTAGTGACTGAATTAGCCACAAAGTCTCAAAAGAGGACATTTACTAATTCGGTCTCACAGTTCACCTGCTCCCGTTTAAAATTTTACGGTAGCCTTTCTAGTTTACGAAAACGTCGTTACAGAAAATGGCAGTTTTGTACCGTAGAAAGTAAACACGCAGTTTATTACTATAATGCGGTATGCTTCGCACTGCATTAACAAACATTCTACTAGATTTTAGTATCAGATTGAGGTTTAGGAAATACATGACACTGATCATACATCTGCGGAAACTTAGTGACCTTTGAAAATATTTTTTTTCTCCAAAGCTGTAAGTTCAAATGGAGATATTTATCTATCCATGTCTCGAAGGAGTTTAGGTTCATAAATCTAAATCATTTTTGCTTATAACTTGGTGGGGTAGAATAAAAAATATGTTTTATCGTGTTGCACTGTGTTTATACGCTAATTTTTAAATAAGTGTTTTCCCCAAGAGTCATAACAACTAGAATAAAACTTGTTAAGACAATAGTTAACCCATTTCTTAAAGTATATTTTCTCCTATTTCAATCTAGAAAGAGTACACTTTCAAATTTTGACCAAATGTTGACCTCGATATACACTGTGTGAGGTTAAGAAACGTTAGAAATGTGAAATAACTCTTTGTATAATAATAACGGATGTCTGATGTTCAACAGCATCTTTATCATGTTTGTTTTTCTTTAACTAGAGTTAATTAACAGTATAATACGAATGAAAATAGTTTTTTCTATGAAAAAACTTTGTTCATAGCGGAAAACAAATTGGCTTTGTTTGAGAGAAATAATTCTATCCGGTAACGATCCTTGTTTCCGAACACTTCTCTTTTCAATTAGAATACACACAATGGTTCATATTTGTCTAAAATGCTTTCTATTAATAAGCTTTTAGAAAGAAGTCAATATTAGTTTTTTGTTGATCATCAATATAAATAAATGTGAAAGATAATATATCCTTTCATATTCTGTTAATCGGCAAATATAAATGGTCATAGTAAAAAAGATTATGACTCTAGTATATATATTTCAATTATCACATTTATCTATTGAAGATATTTTAATACAGTCACAGTATTTTACCTCTATCATTCATCATACCAACAATTAGTTTGAGACATCAGCATTCGAGCGTATACATTCCGAATAATTTAATTTTCTTGTTTTTATTCGCAAAGAATATATCAAATATTTTTAGAAAAAAAGAAAAAAGTTTGTCTAACAAATTTCCATAAGATATAAGTACAAATTCATTCAGCCTTTTCTTTAATCATTCAACTGGAATAAGAACTGCTTTGAATTTGAATAATTTCTAGATGATTATTCTTCTATAATCTTCTCTAAATTTTTACGTGACAGATACTCGTGTATCATAACACGGATTACTTTGAAATTTTGTCTACACTCATTGATATCGAGAAGAAAACATTAGGTAACTAAGTACAATAAGAGAAGTAAAATGAAAATCGAACTTTTTTTAAATTGTTAATTATAAATGAATAAGTGATACGAAAAAATACTCAATAATTCTCTACTCCTCCGATGATATGTGAAATGTTTAACTATTAATATACAAAATTTGACTAAAATATCTTATGTTCAGTAACAATATTTTTGATTCCGCAAAGTTTAAGCGAGAGTATTTATTCTGATTTGTGAAACGAAAACTTTTTTTAAATATAAATAACAGAGTAGAAGAACAAATTATTATATAAGTACAATTGCTATAATAGTTAATGATATATATATATATATATATATATACTCTTCGTCTCATGCGACTGAATTCTTTTAAAGTTAAATAGTCAAAAGAAAAAATATTAATAAATAGAAATATGGAAAAAAGCTGAACTACACTTAAAAATTATGCGGATGTGACTAATTATATTTCCTGGGGTGTACATAAAAAAAATATATTTATAGTCATAATTTAATGCATTCTTATTTTATTTATTTTCAGTAGGCTAAAATAGATACAAATGAAATCGGACAAGTCCAATTATCTTAGTTTTTAGTCGACACAGTCTGATCTTTAGAAAAAAATCGGTGGGAGTGAAAAGTTTGACAAGTAGACTAACTAAATTTTCTTAAAAGTTAAAAAAAAATAAGAAAGTAATATAAATACAATACATACCATATCGGATAGTTGTGTTAATGCAATACCAAATGCTACACTAACTGTATTTGATGCATTATACACCGGTCTTGCTGATGGATCATAATTTCTTAATAATTGTGCCATTAAACGTTGTTCATCCGGTACCGTGTCTGAATCATTGTAAGCTAAATTGTATAAATAATTTGAATAGAGTTGAGTATTTGCTACATTATTTGGTGGTAAATAATTCTGATTCTGTTGTTGATTTTGTTGATTAGTATGTAGATTAGCCGCATTTGGAGAAAATGTTAAAGAATAAATTTGTGAAATAAAATTTAAAATTAAAAATATAATGATACTAAATGATACTGATACTGTAGAATAGAAAAAGAACAACAATGGATGATAAAGAGCCATTGATAATTCATCTGTAAGATCTATTTCTATATAATGTAAAAGAAGAATAGATATATGGAATGATATGGTATGAATAAAAAAGACAAAAATGAGCATGTAGTGCTATTTTTTTTTTTTTTTTTTTTTTTGGGAGGTTTTTGGTTTTATCATTTTCACAAACAAAAACAACGAAAAAAACGCCCCAAAAAAAAAAAAT